GGGCGGGCGGCGGGCGCCATGTTGCGCGGCGGGCCCGCTCGCTCTGTCGCTCGGCCGGCTCAGCGGCAGAGCCGGGGCCGCACCGGGGAACGGCTACGGGCCCGTCTCCATTTCTGGCCTTGAACTGGGCTGCCAGAACCAGAAAGGAGAAAAAAAATAAAAAGAGTCAAATATTAATAGGAATTATTAATATGAGTTATTCCACGTAAAAGACCAGCACACAAGACATCGTTATAAGCAGCTATAGAAAGCAGAGGTGAAAATATTTGTATTACCTGTAAGTCGTCTCACTCTGCTGAGCTACAGTATTACCAGGCATCACACATCTGTCACGGGTGTGCTCGTGTTCGGAGCAACAGTTAGGGCTGCTTATTTGGAGCATTTACCTGTTTTACACCTTAAAGACAACAACAGAAACCCATCAGCCTGCTGATAACCTGCTCCGAGCACCTCCATCACAGGGATGTGAACTCCGGAGCACATCCCTCTGGGYGACAGCACCGCTGGTTAATCCCACAGGGACATCAGATAGGGATCAATGGGGAAGGCCGATTACCGGCTTATTTCATCACCAGAGCATCTCTCTGTCAGGGATTTGCACTGCTTTGAACCAAGACGACTTATTTTTTACCTTCTAGTCAAAAGAGAGCTTCACAGACACCGAGAGATACATGGCAGAGACATTTCCATATTTTCTTCCAAAAGAATCGCAATCTTCTTTGCGATTTAAGAGGAAAGCCATAAACAGGACTAAGATAGAAGATCTATTAATGATACTATTACTACATGACCAATATTTTTTCTTCTGATCTCTACTGATTGAACATAAACAGTTGGATTTTCCTATTTACTTCTCCTCCCAGTCTTCATTCTTGTAATTTATTTTGGTGCACAAGGGAAGGTACCGGGAAGGATACAGACCAAGTGAAAGCCAACGCCTGGGTCCCACTGCAGCACATAGGGATTCCCAGCTCCATAAGGGATACTGGACAGCAGATCCTTCATTCGGATCACTGGCGAACCTCACAACATAGAGCAGTAACCTGGGATTAAACATAATTCAGTTAAAAGAGGCTGTATATGATGCATTGCTTTGGAGACTGAGGTGACTTAAAGGGTATAAAAAGGATGTGGTATTTTAAGAAAGGTCAGAAAAGCACCAGGTCACTTAATGACTGAACTCATACATGTGACTTACTGAGTTTAGGGAATTCAAATGAAATATTACACTGCAGCCTCTGCATCTCTTCCTCTGACCTGTGCTTCCCAGATAGCAAAACCTAAGGAAAAAAACATGCCAAACATCCCCAAACTGGCTGTAAATATAATGCACTCCGATGTGCTATGAGAAGCTGTCCTTTCCATAACCTCACAGCCTGACAATTCCGAGCTTTACAGTTCATCACCAGCTATACAGTAACAGCAAAAGCTGTTGTGGGTGGTCTTTCCATCCTGAGGATACTGAAGAAGCAAAAGCTATGGAAAAGAACAGAAATAACAGAGATTCAAATAAAGGCAAAGTTTAAATGATCATCAGACTCAAARCTTCCTCTGTTTTCACATGAGTAAAGCCATTTTTTTCCTCCCCTCTGAGCTATTTTGTGTTAAAAAAACAGGAAGTTATATAATCTCACATACTTCTCATTGCCAGTAGTGAACTCCTTATTCACACGTATTTGCCTTGTTAAAACTAATTCCTACAACTGTATTCCCTGGTATTTTGCAATWCTGCAATACTGGAAAGCAAAGAATTGATAAACAGGATAAAAAAAGGATTTTCAATAACCAGTTTTCTTTTAAATATATGTGGTTATACAGTCTTAMAACCTGTTTGCGGGTTTGTTTTTAAGGACTTAAAAATAAAATTTCAAAGTAAATGTTGGTAAAAACATATGGAGAAAACAGCACTGAAGTATTGCATTAAATATCACTTCAGCATTTTTTTCCTGAATAAAAAGCTGCAAATGGAAACAGTATTTTTATGACAAATCTAAAAAAAAAAAAAAAAAAAAAAAAAAAACTACCAACACCGAAAAACAGAAATGAGCAGTATATCTGACTGCTATTATTATTTATTTTAATTTTGTAAAGCCCTTTATATTGGTTCCAGCTGTGCATCTTCAAAAAGTGAGGCCAGTCCAGGCCAGAGAGTTAGGGTAAAAGGTGCTGGACAACACCACAGAAGGGACACTTGAGCTAACTTCATTATCACATATTTTGTATAGCAATGGGCCAAGAAATAAGGATGCATCGTGTTGCACCTGACCAAAAGAGAGCTACGAAGCACCCAACACAATCAGACCACTTTGCATCAGCACAGCACAGGCGCAAGGACCTCAACTACGTTTCCTTTTGCTGGTTTTCCTTCTTGATGATGTTGATGATGCTCTGAAGATGGAGACGGGATGTATGGGTGACCGGCTGTCCCCAGATTCCCTCTCACCTCACATCAGTGGGAGTTCTGCCTCCACAGCAAGTGCACCATCGTCCTTGCATCTCTTAGTTGGTCTTGTATTTTACTCTTTATGTACCGTTCAAAGAAGTGGCTCTTAAAGATTGTGCTCCAACAAACAATCACTGTATTAAACATACAAATCCTCAAAACAGACCCCGCCCATTAAATGCTAGTTCAAGTCAAGCATCTTCAGACATGGCTCAATTCTCTACTGCTTTTTAAAAGTGTTTCAAGCTTAGAATTACAGTCCACTTAAGGTCCATTCAGCCTGCCCTCGCAGGTAAGAAATACCACAACTGCTCCTGGCACCAACAGACACAGCGAAATCTGCTCTATTTTATTTAGAAACACACTGGAAACGTTATCTGTACATTTACCATATGTCTTTAGCTTTCTCATTTTCAGCTAGGTTTCATCTACCGCTCTTGTTAAGTCTACTTGGACCATGTGAGTTGTGGGGGATGCTCCCCCGCGGAGGCCTTCCAGGAAAACGTGTGGCCTGGGCACGTTGCTCGAGCTGTCGCGCTTGGTCTGGGTGCCAGYGTCCTTCGGCAGGTACACCTGGGTGCAGCTCTCCCTTCTCATGTGGCTGAGATCAGTCTGCATGGCACGGGTCAGCTTGCGACGCAGGTTGGCCTGAACACACACACACAAAAAAAGCCAGATTAGGCCTATTTTTCTTCCAATGTTTTAGTGCTCGTGTTGTACATTATTATTGTGCATCTGTGGGCTTCACAAAACCTGTCACACCGTGCCCCAGCATCAGAACACTCTTGCAACTGATTTGGTAACTCCTGAAACCAGGCCCTGTGAATAGCAGCACATATAGCTTATTATATCAGGCACAATTTTTAGTCTCTGACTGCTTTTGTACTTTTCTTTGGTAACCTTTTTTTTTTTCTAAGCTGAAGACTTGGTTAGCATAAAATGTTCTGTTTTCACGTTAGGTTCTTCCCGTGCTTCCAATTCATGTGAATCAACCTGAAAACAGTCTCAACGTGACAGCAGGCAGATAAATCTCCCTGGGCACCTGCAACCTGAGACAAGCCTGAGGATCCAAATACTGAGGCTAGAACATGAAGCCCTTGGCTGGTCTCTGCCAAATGATTTGGGGGATTGTGTCACACAACGCATGACATCAAAGGGAAAAGCGCCTCCCTTCCAGACCCTGCTCATTATCTCCTTGGCAGGGAGTAAAACATAAGGCAATTTATGACTGCAAGAAAAAAGGCCTGTTGAATCAGAGCAGCTGCTGTAGATACGACTATAAAAACACTTCTTATGAAGAGTTAATGTGACAAAGCCAGCACTGAAACACCAAATATATGTTCTTTCTTCCACCTAGCATTTCATGTCAGCAATGAWGCAAAATAATACAAAACATATGGCATGATATTCTCACTGAAGTAGACAAAATCAGTCCCACCTTCATGCCCTTACAAGCAAGGGAGAGTCCCTAGAGRCCAGCCCAGTCGGTGGAGGCTGGAGAGGGGTTAAATTGGCCAAATTCACGTGTTGTATCAGAACAGACCCAAATGCTCTCCAGCCTCCACCAACCAGCTCTCCATTGACTGTAATGGAAACCAAAACCCCTATGTGTAGACGTATTTTGGATCTTCATCTGCAGCTAGATTTTATACACAGTGCCATCAAGAAAAAGAGGGCAGGAAGAATAAAAATTAACTTACAAAAGAGATGGCATATAAAGAGAGAGATTTTAGCCTTTCAGTCAGAGGCTGACAATTAMTTACTGACAATTAGAGCAAGAAATAGAAATTTCTGCATCTGAAGTGGAGTCTCTATTAAGCTCATCCCCCTCAAGAACTGAATGAATGCCATTGCAAGAAACACCATATGCTTSCACAGAGAAGCAGGTGTAAACTGTCATTTTTACTTTCTAATATGAAATAAATGTTACAATAAAGTCATACTCTTAATGCTTCATATTAGGGCAAGTTTTCTGGTGCACTATGAATATGACAGAAAAAAACCCAAACAAGCAGGTATCTGAGCTTATCCTAAACAAAATTCACAAACGCACCCTCTTCTCCCCAGCAGCATCCAATTTACAGATGAGCTGGTAACCTACTTCTACTAGTTAAGCATTTTAATTTTGAATATCGTATTGCTTTTGTACTACAAGTTCTGCACAATCTGCATCAACAAATAATTCCACCTGGATCCTGGAACGTTTTGTGTCAGCTCAGCATCACTGATGTCTCCGATGGACGGCTGATAATAAAGTACCTCTAAACATTCCAAACTTGTGAACTACAAAGCTTTTACTAAAAGCTTTTTTTAAAATAAGTTAACACTGCTGAAAACTCTCACTCCAAAATTCTGTTTTCCTTATACAACCTTGGAGAGATCATAGCCAAACGGGGCAAGAAGAACAGCAGAAAGTCAAGAGGCTGCACAGCAAACCTGAAGGCTTCAAACTGCATCATCCCCCCAAATGTGAGAGCATTAGTCTGGGCTCAGCTCTTACTGGTAACTATTACTAGTTCCCCCCATTAGGAGTAGCTGTAGCTGTTCCCTACGTTTTTGAGCTAATTTTTATCACTGATTTAAAATGAAGTGCTCTACCTTAACAACTGCCCGCACTGGCAAGCCCTACAGAGGAGCTTTATAAAAGATACTGTTACTTTCAAAGCTTTTTTACATGTCACACATGGAAAYACTGCAGTTTCCAAGCTGACACATTTTCATCCTGACAGTGTAACCAATGCTTCCTTTAGGCTCTGGGTTGCCTGGGAAGCCTCCTTGCTCTTTAACCTCTCCTGGCTGGTTCTGCACAAAAGGAGGAGACAACATTTTCAAAAATAGCAAAATTGGTTTTGGCAAACAAGAGGAATTTGGACAATATGAAATATATTTCATTATGCAAAAAATAAATGGCTCATTACTGGTGCCTTCATGAATATTTACCTTATAGAATGCTTTCTGCAGGGTCAAATATAACCATTACTAACCTGCCACTTACTAAATTCGCACAATATTAATATAAATCATTTTCTGTGACGTTCTG